TATATATATATATATATAAAGTTGTTCCTCACAGAGACTCATGGTGATCTAGCTGAAGATAAAACGCCATTTCAGTCCGTTTCTGCTGAGTTGGTAAAACACAGATGTGCTATCAGCTGGTAGTTACCACACAAACACACAGAGGTGCCGTATCTCCATCAAAACCATGCAACAGTAATTTAGTTTTGCTCCAGCGTCCCTTAAGGGAACATCAAGGCAAGTTTGAAATTAACAAAGTGGCAGTAACAACCATGCCCTCACTCAAGGACACCAGTCTGACAAGGGCACTTCTAAAACATTCACAGCCACATTCACAGCTATTGTCAGCCACGGAGGGAGGGAGAGGTTGTGAAAAGAGAGCTTGTGGAGTGATTGTAAGGGACAGTATGGCCCTGAGCTACACACACACACACACACACACAGGGTTTTATTAAACTCATAAATCACGATGACGACAGACGGCGTCTCAGAGAGAGGAGACTGTCTGAACGGGAAGGTTAGTGAAATGAAAGCGCTGGGGAGACACATACACACATCTGTGACGCTCAAACAAAACAAAAATTGTGCACTCTGGCAGGTTATCCACACAAACCGAGTGCTAAAGAATCAGCAGTGACTGACCGCATTTGTTTCAGCCTGATTTCCCCTTTTACTGAGTCTAGTTCTAAAGGTCAAAATTTAAACTTTAACTACTATAAAATCAATTACCATGAGCACTGATGGTTTGGTTTCTTTTCACATCCCAAATATTTTTTTCTGTTGATGACATTTTCCTGGAAATCCAGAGTGAAGTTAATGGTCCTGGAACAATCTCATGTTGTTTGTCTGCAAACTGATGCTATACTTTTCAGCTTTGGACAATTTTGAATGATCTAATTGTTTGCCGTCTTCTTCAGAATGGAAAAATGACAATACGACTTTATTTCATCACTGTGCATTAACATCTTAATCTTATGAGAGTTCAAGAAAGTAAAAATGTCCAGTTCTGAGAGCTTTTAGTGAACACAGTTGTAGTTTAAAATGAATGAACACTGAGACTCTGAAAGTTCAATGTCAACATTATATTTGATCATGGGTCAGTACTGTAGGCAACTGTAAATAATATTACAACATAATGCAACATTTTAAAACATACACAATGTAAAACAGTGACATACAGATAGGTATTCATTTTAGCTCACTAGAATCTGGCTGTAATAAAATGTAAACATAGCCAGAGAGGAACTGAGGAACAACAGATAAGGACAGACAAACAGTTATGTGCGGAAATACCCATTAAACTATATAGTTTGTTTTCATATATAAAATAAACACTAGCAAGTTACTTTTAATATTAGTCTTAATAGTGCAAGTGCAAATGCAGTTAGGTCCAATAGCATGGTGATATCAATATAGGCATTATATGATTATCAACAATATGTAAAGAACAACAGTGTAAGTATCAACACACATCAATGCATCCATTATTAGGATTTTGTTTTGAATATGTATGTCTGTTTCCATACAGTAAATGAGTGTATCAAATTGTACATCTTTTTACAAGCAGGGACCACGCGCTCAGTTCATCTTTTGAAATTAAAACGATAAGCAAAGTGCTAAACACTACTTCAAAAGAGGTTATATAGCTGCTGGATTTGGCAAAGTATAAATAACATTTCAGGATAGTTTTTCTCGTTATTTTTACCGTCACCAATTTTTACAGTTGTCCCCACAATGCTTATTAAAAAAGTACCGTAGATCAAGAGCGGGGCTGGTTCCAAATAAACAGCTAGTGGAAATGTCACAGGGGATCTGATGGGTCGAACGGTAAATAATAAGTTAATAGCTAATTAAGGTTGCTGCCATTTTTGAGCTGTCCTTTTAGGCCTTCACAACGATATCAGAACCAAGGTGCATTGTTTCCTACAGAGCATGAGTTGGTTCTCCTCAAACTACAAAGAACAAACTGCAGATTAAAAAAAAATCCCCAGGTCTCGGGAGGAAGGATGGACTTTCCAGTTTTAATCTACGTCAAGATTATTTACAGTTTACAATAGATGCTGATAATTTAATATGTAATGCCTATCAATTCAAGTGACCATTAATGAAATCTAATTTGGCCTGATGTAAATGTGCTGTGAGGCAATTCCAGCCACAGCCAAGAGTGGACAGGTCCGTTACGTGGCTCCACAATGAGCTCAGTCTTCACAAGCCTTTGGTCAGAATCCTTTTCAATGAAAACACACAAACAGGCTGATAACCGTCAAACGAGTTAAATAAGGCACTGCAACAGTCATCCAAAACAAGACACATTAAAATCTGTTTCAAAGGGAGTAAAGTGATGTAGTGTAGGTCCTTTTGAGTTCTGAGTTGAGTGTAGTTAAATTGTGATACTGTAAAAAAATAAAATATAAATAATAATAATAGTTAGTGTGATCTCGCACAGGCACCACTGCTTTTTCTAACTGTGTGAACTGTCTTTGTTTAGACATTAAGGAAAAGGTCATATACTGTATACCACAAAGCATTAAAAACAGATTTCTGTATAAATGTAGCTGAAGTTGATTCCATTAGCGCGTGAACGTGATCTTCAATCTCCGAAATAAATTAAAACACTGACTGAAAGGCTCCAGCTGTGTGCTCACATTAACAGATGTTTCATGCAAATGGCTCGCCGTGGCAGGAGAAGCACATTTGTAATTGATCATGACTGCATTCCATATAGGTGAGCCAGTTCCAGGGTCCTGGTATTGTGCATGCTGGCTCACTGTCATGGCTTACTGGGGCACTTGATGTAACTGGGCCATCACATTCACCTGAGCCTTTCCTGCAAGTCAAACTGTCTGCTGTGAAAAAGGCCTATACACTGCTTGTCACATGTTGCGCAGGGCAGTTTCCATTTTTTTTGCCTTTGTTGAAGAGCAAGGAGGCTTTTATGCTACCGTTAGTACAATGATAATAATGCAGTCGGCCTGTGTGTAACACATCGCCGCTTGCCTGTCCTGAAGCCGCGTTAGTTTGGAAGTTCTGCATCTTAACTCCACTGTTGCATAGTTGTCATTGCGCCGTCAAACAACAACCCCAGGAAGGTTTTACTGCATTGCTGGAGCTGCAAAATGACTTTACTGCTTGCTGACTGTTGGCTTTTAGTGTCAAACAATAACCGTTGTGTCTCTGGCTGCAGCATTAGGATTCAAGTAGCTGCCAAGATTCTAGCTAGGGTAACATGTTTAATGTAAGTTTAAGTAAAAATTCACTGAACGACGAATTACACATACTGTCAGAGACACTTGACATCATCACGAGTTCTGTCTTCCTAAGGGGGCCTGATCTTTTTGATAAATCTATATGGAACTAGTGCTCAAACTATTAGTTTGTTTGGATAATT